ATGACAATTTGTAATTTCTCATTTGCATGGAAAAGGTTATTGTAGCATGCTCCAACGTAAAAGATGAGGGAAACATGGAGTTTCTAGAATTGTTATTTTGGCAATTGAGAAGCAATTAGAAGTAAACAAGTCTTTTCTTTATAGGAACATTTCATGACTAGATAGGATAACTTTTGGAAATTTATAACTTTAATACCACTACAAAGACAATTCTATTGGGAGGCAATATCCAAAAATAGGCATCAAATTCACAATCCTAAACCCCATAGAGTTAGTTGTTTTCTTATGCACCAAAATCACAAACTATTGCCATGCAAATTATGTGTTATGGAAGCTTCTTCTCTACCTTATCAAACTAGTAACAATGTCATATTTGAGGTCTTACTCTAAAGATCGAGGATACCTTTCATATTAGAAACTGTAGGCCTTCGAATCTTGTTGTTTGCATTTGTAAACTTTTTGCCAAGCTTCTACCTGGAAGACTCTTGGTCAAGTGTAGTGCGAGTGGGAATTTGCACCATGCGTTTGTGCAAGGGAGGCAAAGCCTTGATGTGTTGTTAATTGCAATGAAATCATTGACCTCATGATCTAGAAGGGTGAAGAGGCCTTATCTGCCAATTGGATATTGAAAAAGCAATCAATCAATCATATGTCTAGGGGGTTTGTTCTTTACATGTTGAGGAGATTTGATTTTGGGGAAGGTGGTGTTCTTACATTTCTTCTACTTTCTTTCTGGTTCTTGGCACTGAGAGCCATCAAGGTTCTTCTAGGACTCCACTTGAGGCAGCAGGTCTCTCATTTCCTTTTCATAATTTTCATGGAGGCCCTCAAATAGATTTGCTGCCAGCACAAAGGATATAGTTGATTCAAGGTCCCAATTTGGGGGGTCACAAAAGGGGTTGTGGAAGTGACACTTACTTTTGCTAATGATATGGCATTGTTTTGCAGGTCTTACCTTGAAAATTTCCTAAATATTAGATACATCATCCTTTGTTTTCAGGCAATATTAAGTTTGAAGATAAACATGGCCGAGTCAAAACAAATTCTCTTGGGAGAAGGGATGGCCTTGGACTCCTATGCTGGGATATTGGGCTGTAAGATGTGTTCCCTGCCGCTAAAATATGTACTTTGATAAAAGGTTTGTTAAGAACAAGACAGAAATGTCCCTTTCTACTATTAAAGCTACCAGAACTTATTATCTCAAGAAAAAGCTACCAGAACTTAAAAACAAAAGGTGCGAGCTGATATACTATGAGTTTGAGGTGTATATTACTAAATTTATAAGTGTAAGTTGCAACTTGATATAAATTGGGAAGTTAACTGCTAACTCTTTTTCATATTTAAAAATGTAAAAATAAAATAAAATTCCATCGAAAAACCAAGATTGGAGCAGGGATAACTCAGTAGAAAAGTCATGTTTAATCATGTATAGAAAGACTAATGAGAATCAGAACTAAGAATAAGCATAACTAGACCTAAGAGTTAAAACTTACAAATTTTTTCCTCCACACAGTTTCTAGATAAAGATGAAACTAATTCCAGAAGTGTGAAGAAATAATTCCAAAAAACAGTAGAAGATAAACTAGACCTGCCCTGCTGAAAGTGATTTCCAATGTATGGATAGTCCACATCTCGCAACCGTCCCTTTGTTATGTTTTCAATAGTCTGCAGCAGAAGAGGCTGGTGCTGGGTGTAAACATTCTCAACACCCTACAAACAATGTGAGAAAAAGACCTATAAGCAAATAGCAGTCTTGAGTTCCCTTCCAAAACATAAAAGCTGACACCAACCTTCAGTCCACGGGCCATATTGCGAGCAATGTTTAAAAGATCACGATTTCCATATAGATCACCTGTTCGTTTGTCCACCCCCGCTTGCTTCAAGAGGAACTGGACAAGCTGTAGTTTCATGATGGCCAACATTTAAAGTCAGTAAGTTTCTAGCTGACCAGCTCTCATAAATTTAGCTTATATCTCTATCGAGAGATTATGAAAAATACTGAAACAGCAAACATCATGATGGTAAATCCAGAATTTCCAAAGGAGAGACTGATTGGGAAAGCGAGAAAGTTACATACTAAGGAAGATGTTTTATTTTTTATTTTTTAAAAAAAGAAGAGTATAACAATACATAGTCACAGGCAACAAGAGCATGCAGTGCAAACACAATTTACATGTCCAGTAAAATATCTATGAGGTCCCTAAAATCCTCAACAATATAAACAAGATGACCCTTAACAAAAAAACTTATGATCTAGAATCAATAATCTTTGAATCTATCAACATTCAACTCAAGACCCCGAAAAATGGTCCAAAATGTAGTAAACAGAACAAGACTTGCCCTCTCATCTCTCTTGACCCTATGTCATGTCCTAATCTCATCCCTAACTGATCCCATAATCACCAAATTGATACCCAACAGACTATAAACCAAATCTCTACAAACAGTAGGCAAAAGGGTCCGCTACAACAGATTATGGTTACATGATTCTGAATCCCTCTTGCACAGGTACAACTGCTAACCAAGATTCTTATCCTCCTGATTAACTTAGGGTAAGAATACATTCTCTAGCGAATTCCCATGCGAAAAAAGCCACCCTTGGTGGCGCCTTGACCTTCCAGATAGGTTGGTCTTTGTCTTCATTACGGATATAGTTGGAAAGAGACACCAAAAAGATTCACACTCATTGATCTCCCAACGACTGAGATTCCTAGAGACCTCCACAAACCAAGAGTCATTCCCTTATGAAATATGAAAGATCTCTTAGACAATGACCTCCTTTTGGCGAGCAAGAGCAAAGATCCGTGGAACTCAATTTTTGACCATCCCACTATCAAGTCACTCTTCATGCCACAACTTCCCTCTCTCCACAAACCCAATTCTTCACTTAATGTACTTCATAAGCTCGTCCTTCCTCGAGCACATCTTCTTCCATAGACCAAGGCCATGCAGTTTAAAATGACTCCTTGTAAACTAGTCCAAGTCATTTGTTCCAAATTAGCAATAGT